CCCCCCCAAAGAAAGATTGCTGTTCGCTGTTCGCTGTTTGCTGTTTCCTGGTGTTTGTCTGATTTCACACTTTCTTTCTATGTCGTTTGCACAAACATCTGTCTCCAGTTCTTGCAAGCTCGTTGCAGATTGTGGGCTGTTCAAAGCGCAAGAGATGCAGCACAATGCTACAATCAGATGTATATAAGCTGGCTCGTTGGCTATTCACAGAATCATGGTGGACAGCCAGGCTTGCCTTATTTGGTAATGTATATTCTGGGCTCATTTTCTACCTGTTCAATCTCACCCAACAGCTCTTTGGAGCAATAAGAAGCTAATGCTGGAATTTTGGCACAAACCATATTACGGAAGATGTGTTCGCACAGCTTTCTTCAGACACGTACTACAACGTATTCGAATCACTGATCATATTGGACTGTGACTTCCATCAGTGTACAAGGAAATTCTAAACACGTTCACTATGACTGTCACTTGTGAGCTGGACCAACCGTGCTTGACCGCCACCTATAAAGTCCTGCCTTCATATCGATGAGCTGTTCACCTTTGGTTAAATTCTGGCCATCCTTCTTCAGCTCGAACAAGCCAGCACGACGCAGCTCTGCTTTTATATAAACATAGAACTCTTCCACGACCGAAATCTGCCTATTCACCCTCATTATGGGCCCTCAGACAGAAAGGTTCCAAGCAGCCCCTTACCTGCAACACAAGATGAGCGACGTCAAATCGCCCAAGCCTTGGCAACCAGCAGTGTTCGGGTCAGAGTGACAGCTGGGAAAATAGGCGCTTTGGACGGGTTACTGGGCTTGTTATCATTGCTAGGCCAGCCACCGCCAGCAACTGCCCCCCCCAAAATAGCTCAGAACCAAACCATGGACAACGACAACAAAAACGGCGCAAAAACAAGAGAACCAATCGTACACCCGCACACAAGTGCTGCAGAAAACTTGGCTTTACTGACCTGCCCAGAGAAATAAGAGACCGCATATATTTCTGGACCCTTAGACCAGACTGTGGTCTAAGCGAGCGATTCTGTGGCAAAAACCATGAACATCTGCACAATGGTATAGGCACCACAAAGATCCTGTGCCTCAATCTTCAGATTCACAGAGAAGCGATTGGCTTGATACTGGCAATTGAGAATGTCCTGGTCCTGCCCAGCACTGGTGGGAGCATGTTCAGATCTATGTTCGCCTTCGGGAAGCCGCGGTTCTTTCACATAGAGACCCGCACCTCTCAATGTCCAATGCCACAACGATTTTGTGAGTTGAATCTGGTTGGATTGCGTTACTTGGCAATCAAGGTCAGATATCTGCTCCCTGGTAAAGGAGAATTCATGCATCCCTTGGCTGACGAGGTGCAACCTATTGCGAGATCTCACAACTATGAGAAATGTATCCGAGCACTGATTCACTCAGCGCGACAAACTGAGGCTGTGCTCTGGAAATGCACCTCGCTACAAACCTTGCGCTTAGTGCTGCAGACAGATGGAATATCATGCTGGCCGATATTTGGTCCCTACGACGAGCGGTGGAATTCGTCGCCGTCACCGAACATGACCATCCGGAGATGAGGGATCCTTTAAGCATGTTCTTGAATGTAGCAAAGTGCAAGAAGTTTCAAACAGCGGCGGAGGAAGACAAGAGCTTCTTTGTTTATGAGCCAAGGCCTTATGGCGGTGAATTTGGGCAGTGGATAACCATCCATTCCTACCAAGACCCGCTTGTTAGACAGTACAACCGCCGTGCTGGGGAACTCGGCATCCGAGCTCATTTCGATCGAACCCTGCACGCCTCATATGTCAAGTTCGAATATGAGGTGGATGTGCCCAAGTTATTTCGTATCGCCTTTCCTAACCCTACTCCTGAACAGGACACAATTTTCGAAGACGAGGTCAGGGATATGGGCCACAGCGAAGCCTTGGTCGATCATGAAGGAGATACCGACGGTGAGCTAGAAGATGGTGGCGATAAGAAATACGCAGTTGAGCCTGCTCCAATGCCCCCCTCGCCAAGATTGATATCATTCCCTCCTCTCGAAGATATCCCAGGCGAACTTCCCCCTCTACCAAACGGCTGCCAAACGGCGCCCTCAGATATATGCCAACGTGGACGCAGCTCAACCGTACCAGCTACGTCCAGAATGTCGCAAGTGTTATGAGCTGTTCGCCTCGTTCGAAGGTCTCGAGCACCATCTTCAACAATTTCCCAGACACCGAATTCCGTTCAAGCGCAAGCAGTACAACGTTCTTAATTACTGGGCTCAGCACGGCGGCGGGCGTAAGTGCTGGACCTGCGCAAAATCTTATACGAGCTTGGAATTTCTTGCAAAGCATCTTGACGATTGTGGGCACCGCCGTGAGGGCATGATCCCACGATGGAAACAGGACAATGGTTGGATGAATCGGAGGGACGGTAAGAGGAAAGCGAGAGAGAAGGCAGCGCAGGAATGGGAATGGCGCAAAGCATATGAGGTTATAGAGCAACTCAGAGAGCAGCCGGATCAAGAGCAGCAGAATGAGGAAGCGGATGAGGAGTAGCGCGAGGGGCCGGTTCTAGCACAGCCTGGCGATGTAACTGTTTAAGCTCACGTCGCTGAGTCCATCGTCCGGCTTTCGCGCAACCAATCAATCAGTCGCTGCTGATCTGAGCCTCGGTGAGTAGCCATCCAGCTGGCACCCGCATTACGCTCGCTCTTCTGCTAACTGGTTTTGTAGCCATCATCCTCAGCCACCAGTCAATGCCCTTGCCTTCACGTTGTGAGCTCTTGCAAACGTTGGCCGACCATCGACCAGCTAACTCTCACCCCCAAATCTATCTTTCTCTTTCTTACAGCACTCCAAAGATGCATAACCAGAACCTCCTTTTGAGCCGTTTGGTTGAGCTCGAGTAGCATCTAATGTTGCTTTTCGCTTGATCCGGCTAAGATAGATTCCTCAGGTCAGACATAAAGTATTCTAGACCAGACAGCCAAAATTGAAGCTTGACACAGGATGCTGATGATTGATATGCAGCAGAGGGCATTCCTAGCTAGTAGAAGAAACTGCTAAGTATTGAAGCTAGCAATACTCAGTTTCCGTCACATTACGAAGTACATACGGAGTACAATGCAACTATATCCAAATTACAGTAGCCCGTATGGTGTCCTATACCAGGATCTCCAAAATTCCAAGACAACGTGATGTTACTCTCTTTTCCCGCAATTGAGCCTCTCAGCAGCTTCGTGGAGGCTTCTGGTCTATTGACATGATTGACCACCTACTCTGTGATTATTCCACCTCTTCCACGACTTATCCTTGATCCACAGCTTGCGCAGTTACGATCCAATATGATCTTCTCCAGGCATATATTTCGTCGGCCGAGTGGAGCTGCCAAAACAGCATTCTCGCTACGCAGAACTCTGACCTGCCTGTAGATTGCCTAACGACCCAATTTCAGTGACACCACACCACCATCGTCGTACCCAGAGGCGTACAATTTCACCTTTCGAGGATCCACAACTGGTGGTGGGAACTCGAAGACAGTAACACTTTGAGGAAGTGCTCCGACACGATCAATTTACCCTTATTATCCATCAGGCACTGTGTTCAAAACACGTCTCTTGTCCATTCCTGCCAGCGATGCGGCCGCCAAGCTTAAACCTCATTCTCGACCATTGGGTTTTCCACCAGAACAGAGATGATCTTCACTCATCTAAAGGTCATTGCAGCACAAACTTTTGCTCATAATTCAGGTCTTGCTTCTGCTCAGCCACTCCCTGGTGTATGATTTCCTTTAATGATCTGCCAAGTCAGTAGAGCAGGTGGGGACGCTGCTGTCGTCGCCCAGCAGCGGATTAACGCCGTTACCATACTACCCAGAGCAATTTGTTTTGTTTGAAGCTGAACATGGACTACTATCGTCAAGAGAAGTAGAGTTTGAAGTATTCTCTGCCTATGTGACTGGCTGGATAGGTATCATATGGGTGCCCTGGCAGGAGCTAGGGGCCACTGAAGGACAAAAGACTGATATCTGAGGGTTTTGTCCGCTTTTGCAAGCTCAGACGAGCGCATGACATGAAGGAGTTAGCCAGGCTCTTGGTAACATCATTGATCATGGGGAGATGTTGTGACTTGATAGTGTCAGACAAAAGCCTGAGGGAGTACCATAAAAGTTCAAGGAAACACTATGCGATCTATAATCAGTAGTGCATCAAGGATGCTTGGCTATTTCCATAAGATAGGGCAAAGTCAAAAGAGATGTGAACCCACCATTGAAAGGTACATGGAAAGAGCCTGGCACTGATTTGGTCAGAACTCTGACCAGCCATGCCGTCCTCACCCGAACTCACAGCATACAAAGAAGTGCTAGGGAATCACTGCACCGGCCGAAGCTGCCACCCTGAGGTCCCTTTAAGAAAGAGAAAAGAATATTTTTTATGTGTTCTCGGTTTTGGCAATTCATCTCATGCATAGTGTCGCTTGAATTTTACAAAGAAGACTGCCTTTAGGAAAAACAAGCACAGCTGTAAAAGTAACTCATTTTTGATTATCATGAACCAATGACGCCTTGGTACGGTACAGAGGTGACAGCAACACATAGGAGACGATTATTTGGTGACACCCAACGAAACATACACGCTTACCTCTTTGAGAATTTGCCTTCCCAAAAGACCTGTATCACCAGCTCCTAACAATATCTGGTCAGTCCCATGTCATAGACAATTGATAGAGATCTACTCAATTGTGGATGGATTGCCTTACCGTGTCGAGCTTGGTGAAGCATATCGATGATGGTTGTTACGATCACGTAAAGCTCCTTCGTGTTCGTTCCAAGCATAATCAGTCGCCGTATAGTGATTCTGATCCGATTTGGTTGACCTGCTGATCCTTGGCCATTTTTCGAAAGTGTCCATTCTCTTGGTGGCATAGCTGAAATATACTTTGAGAAAAGAATCCCCAGAAAAGTGGCATAACTTACTCATATGCTGTATCTTCTCTTCTGTCTGATGGTTCGCGCAAGGCTCTGTGATGCTGAGGGTAGTAGACACCACTTCTGTCATCGTTCCCAATATGTGAATCATACAGACTAGGTATGAAAGTCTTGCGTTCAATCTCCTGATATCTGTCCTTTTGGCTACGGTACTCCCCGTTGGCGCCTATGGCGGTTTTCTTGGCATCATCATACTCCTTGTAGTCCTCGCAATAAGCCTGTGGATATTCACGATTGTCTCTTGTTACTTTTCCCCTTTTTCCGTTCTCTTTTTTTTGCTTCGAAGTTGTTGAGAAGTATCCATCGGGAGGATAGAGCTCGGCCTGCTCCCTTCTATAGTCATCCTCCCCCAATGGAACGAATTTCTTTCGATCTCTGCTCGATCTTTCCCGTACTTTGTCCGTTGGGTAACGTGTAACGCTGTCAGAAGGACGGCTCGAGTGACGAAGTGGACCAGTAACAGGGCGGGAAGTGCCGGTAGGGGGACAGGACAGGTTTCTTAAAGACATAGTGGATACAAGTAGATGGTGATATCGTTGTTGACTCGAGGTACACCCAGGCGATAGCAAAAGAGATGTGCAAATGTACCTTGGAGGCAATAGCAAGTTTTCCAATAGTGGGAAAAACTCAAATCAGGTAGTATTGTACAAAATGTATAAATAGGATTAGATCTGAAAAGAGATATTTTTGCCTCTTATATGCCATCAGGAGCTAGACAGAATTGTAACGCCGCAGGAAAATCTGAGACGCTACTTGACTGTTAATTGATACATCGAGCAAAAACAGCGTCTCGGGTGAGAGCTGCTTTTCTTGTGACGTAAGCAAAAGAGTCCAGAGCCAGTCGATGATATGTCGGTCCGACCAGCAGCAGTGTAGAAGGATTTCGGTGTTACAGCTCAAGGAGATGGTGTGTTGAAGCGAGTTGTCACAATGCTAAATAACAAAGACGCTATTGGCTTGAGGAGGAAGCTGGCACACATGTGACTGTAAAGGATCTCGAAACATGGGAAGGTATTGTTTCGTGTTGAGCATAACCAGGCCATCGACCATTTTAATTGGCCACAAACACTACCCAACGGGCGCCTTGTTCAGACATGCCGGTGAGAGTGAGACCTCGATTATTGGTTGCAACAGGTCGTACCAACGTAGATGGATTTCAAGTTTATGTTGGTCACGTTTCAAAAGATAAACAGCGCTTGGATGCTGTAACTATGAGTAAGCTGCTTACATAATCACTGTCCACCTGAAACGGGCATCTCAGGCTGAGACAATTGTTCCGCGATAATCGCCATCTTGTCTCCTGCTCATTGTCATAGCTCACTTTTCGCCCTACAGCTGGAAGATCTCTTCAAATTTTCTGGATATTTCAAGGGAACTGTTGATTATTAGTCGTGATGACTCTCCATCTCTTTGACCGTTCTACACATATTGACCTCCTGCCACCCGAGGTCCAATGCCATATCTTAAAGCACATACCGAACATGAAAACGCTGTTTGCCTTGCTGAGGGCCTCTCCAAGATACCTACAAGTGTATCGAACCTCTAAGCAAACTGTTCTCTCACACATAACGTGGAACCAGATTACACCGGTTGTTGTGCCAATTGCGCTAGCTGCGCTCCAGCAGCAAGAGCATAGAGCAACACAAAACAATCACGGGACTCTATGCGAAACTCTGGAAAATGCTCGACAGACGACCATGAGAAAATCCTATGAGATTCCGCTAGAAACATCGAGGATGCTGCTGCAGTTTCATGAAAACGTAGAATTTTTCATATCGGACTTTGTTGTCAGCCGCCTCCCTATCATCGAGAACTATCTGTATCCTGAGACATCACACTTGTCGACGAAGGCCTCTTGGTACGGAGCCGCGAGCCCCAAGATAGGTCGTGCTCTATCACAAACTGAATATTCACGACTGGCACGAGCATTTTATCATTTGGAGCTCTACGGTAGTCTCTTCTCTCGCTTGGATGCAGAGGAAGATGATACAAGTGTAAGCGAGCAGTCATGTGACTTTCTGCAAAGTCTCAAAGATTGGGAGCTTGAAGAACTTCTCTGCGTACGGGATTACCTTATTGAAAGACTTACAGAATATCTGAACCAAGTCGAGGATGATTTCATGCAAGGGTTTCTGGAGGATGAGCCACACATCATCGAGACAGCCGGCCCTGACAGCAGATGGAACAATGTTGACTGGTTCTTTTCTGATGATGCCCATGGCCAATTTCAGGAAGGATGGCTGCAGGGTTGCCTATCAAGGGGCTTAGAAGAAATCAGAGCGATATTGACAGCTGATACATCTGAAGCCAGATTTGACGCTCTTGGAAGCACGGATCTTGCACCGAACCCCTTTGGGCGGGCTCTGGAAGCCTTGCCCACAAAACTAAGCCCATGGAGAACGTGTTGTTCTGGGAATGACTGTAAAAATGCTAAATACATCGACGATGCCGAAAAGCACAACGCAGCTTGGTCGTGGGCAATAAAGGGCCGACGCCACCCAAGATCTTTCCCCGACTACGCCAATAACCCAAGTTACACTGGTTTGAGACGTTGGGGGTACATGATCTGGGACTACGAGAGACTGGAAAGCCTGGGGATCCTAAGTCAAGAGTAAGCCTGAGACTCGTTCCATTATCTCGCCTGCTTCTAATCTTTGTTTTTTACCGTAGTGCATACGATGTCTCAATTAGTTGTGGGATAGATCTCGGGAAACGAAGGTTGACACCCAGCGTCGAGCAGCGCACAAGAACACAGGAGGAGATTTGGAAGCGAGAAGGACTAATCTGAGCGGAATGATCTGATGAGCACTGTACCGAGCATGGATGATAATTAAAACAGGAGACTGTGTCGAAAACTGACCCATAAGACCAATACTGCGGGGTCTGGTGCACCTCCAATACTACACGCCTATGCTTGACACCGCCTTAGTATAATAAGGCTCGCTTGCTGACTGCTTGGTGCAAATTTTGTCTCATTCATTATTCCTGGAATGCTGGGTCGATATTCAGACCCGAATCTTGGCCTCTCCAAACCCCATTTTCACATCAAGAGCTAAGCATATCTGAATGCAACCTGAGTGATGAATACACTGCCCTGACCTGTAGCTGTGCAAGGCTGGCCAGAGCCGGAGTAGCCCAGATCAGCCCAGAGCATCAACTGAATTCTACCCTGAGCTCCTCAGTGGGGCCGTATTCTGGGCCACTCTCAGCTCGGGAAGGCCAGTTTGGTGCCCTCCAGGCTGTTTAGGATCCATTTCCTAGCCTGGTACACCAGGCAGACTTTGACATGTTTTTTTAAATGTGACAAGTCAAGTGACACCAAGAGAAGAATGTATCTTCACCATGGTTTCAGAATCTGATGTTGAATCTCTCACATGGCCAACCAAGATCGCAATGGGATTCCGCAGAGGAGTGGTCAGAGGAGTGCCTATGGAGCCAGTGGGTAGCCCTTGTTGATGAGAGGAGGACTCTCCTCTCCTTCTGAAGACGCTGCTCAAGGATTAGTTTTTGGTTGTATAACATAGGCAATATCGAGTACTAATTCCCTCCCATTTCACTCTCTGTCGTAGTGGCCTCACTTCCACACAAATCTTTTGTCATCCTGCCTACAATTCCCATCACACGTAACTATCCATTACCTAAAGAATTAGACACCTTTGAAATTTCTAACATAGAGACTTCAGCGTCTTCCTTTGGCTCGGATAGGTTGAAGAGTTGGATACCCCCATTTATAAGCGGCAATGACCCACAACTTTTCATGCCATTCTCTAACACAGCTGAATTGATCCATCCGGTCGATCCCGTAGTCTTTCATATTTAGGAAATCCTCAATCTGGCTAATGCAGTCTTGGTTGGTGTCTTCGGTCCCAGATCCAAACTGGATTCCTCGTACCTTTACGCCGCTTCGTGTGTTCCAGGATAGCTCGACAACCTTTCTCGTTGGTACCCATTTGATCATCCCATCAAAACCATATCTGAACGCAGGACGCAGATAGCCCCTATGAACAGAGTTCCGTCAGTGTCTTTCCTCCTTTCCCTGGTCTGCGTAGCATGGATCTTACCGGAAAAAGCATAGAAGTTCGGCCTTGTCATTCTTTGCTAGTTGTCCAAGGCAACGAATGAGGGCCGCTTTGGCGTTTAAGGTCATGGCAATTTTGAACTATACCAATAGATTAATCTCTGCGGTGTTGGAGCGCTGGCTCGGCTTGACGGGACAATGAAATGGAACACACTAGGACTCACAAGGCGAGGTACGGAGATTAGCAGCATATGATTCTCCTAATTCAAGTGCAGCTTGGTAGATGGTGCTCTACTCTCTCTGCTTCTGCGTACCTCACTCCGCAGGCCCTTGATCGGTGGGAATGCTGCATCGTGATGCAAGGACATTGAGGAATCTTTCCGTACCTTATTCACGTTTTCGTTCTTCCCACGAAACTTTAAGCATTGATTTTCGTAGAGAAATATATGCTTGTTGACGGTTTTTTCCTGGCCCTCTTCCAGTTTCACGGCCTCTGAAGCACTGGAATCGATCAAGATTTTAGTTTTCTTGCATATAGCAAGTCTGTGCTGTCCAAGGTCATAGAAGACAAATTCATATTCTTCACCTGGGAACCAGTGGTATAGCCGATCTACCGTTTTAATCGCAAACGAGGTACAGACCCCGGAACGGCCGGCAACCAGCCAATGGAGGGCACCTCCATCTTTGATACTGTCCTCGAACATGTTCTGATTTGTTACGGCCCCAACTAAATTCGGTTCAGAAACATAATCCTCAATAGTTGCTTGCCTTGGGGATTGACCGTTCTGGGGTATCACAGTGGACTTGTCGATTAAGTACTGAATCATGTCGAGATTCGTATAAGGACCCTCACAATAAACTTGGCAATATGCCTTCGTCGCCGGTACAAACAAGGGGGATTGGTGGGAAGATATCATGATGCTGATCTGTTCTTGAAAGGGACTTGAAGGGTACTGTGGACGCTGTAATATTGGGATGGAAGTAAGCTATTTCTACCATGATTATATATGCTCTCGCGTTCCATTCCTTCAAGCATGATCTCGCACAAACATTACACAACAGGACTCACTTCTTTCGAACTCGACCGGAGGATTTAGGATAAAATAGAAGTCGGGACACCTCGATCCCTCTTCGCGTTGGACGGTGAGCTCGGGCCTGAAGTGTATCAGTACTGGTTGGAGTGTCCACATATCGTTGGAATGAGTTGTGCAGATTTCCTAGACTTAGGCACGTTGTCAATAGAGCCAACTCTAAAGCTATGTGCCTTCTAGCATCAGTCTTTTGCAGCAGTCTCATTCAAGTGGTGATTGAGCTCATCTAGTGGGGCCATATCTGCAAGATGTAGGAATATGAAGTTCCCAACATAAGTTACCTTACCCAATAACAAGGCAGAAATTAGGTTGGTGAGATTCCACCTGAAAGACGAGGTAGGACCAAGAGTAAGAATGGTAACTTTGACTCGAGGGTTCTGAAACGCTTCGGGCGTTTTTCAGCTTCGGAATGAGTTACAAGGTCCGAAAAGATGCATCCTCTCAGCCACCTCTCGAGCTGTTAGGTGGCTTCGGGCCCAGCGAACCACATGAAACACGAGCTCGTGGCACCCACATCTGGCTCACATCAGGACCTGAAAATGAAGGTGGCTAGAATCATTGGGGGCGCGTGGCCGTGGGGCCCCCCAGAGTCTTTCGGAATCATTTGTGTTGCGTTCACATCCCACTGCTCGTCTCAAGATTTGGGCCTCGAGGTAAGGATCTTGCAAAGATAGCAGAGGTGGCTACAAGCAGCGTGCCAGATGTTATTTGTGCTCTTAGCGCACTCAAGAACACCGGATTTTGCTAAGTACGATGGTTCCAAATAGCTATTTTCCAATACAACAATGCCCTGCAGCCAAGGCGAAGGAAAACCTATAACTGATTGAGAAGAAAATACACCTTCTTGTCTAGCTGCAAATTAAACATTATTATAAAAGCGTCAGGGCACGGCCTGGAACTGTACGCCTCTATCTCCCGACTTTTAAGCAGCGCGAAGACTTTTACCAAGAACCCTTGGCGCTTATATGGCTACATCCGCCAATTGCACATGGCATTAAACTAACGATGCTAATACAGCGGTACCCTTGCTAAACCGTTAAGACACTCCATTCAATAAATGTATTAGAGTATCACCTACACATTGGATATCCTAGTGAACGGAACCTACTTAAATGTCAGCTCCATTAGCTGAAACTGAAATGACAGCCATCACCCGTACTCAAATCTTGCAACCACATTGTACGATCAATCCGTTACAATTTATTTTTACAACCAAAACTATCAACTTTTTCAATTTCAATTCATCATTGAGCTCGCTTTCGTAAAGAAGATGGCCTCTCTTGACGAGGTCATCAGAGCAACGCAAAAGGCAAGAGAAGTTGCCAAAGCTCGCTTGAAAAATAATCCCGAGGAGGTCCGACGCAGTCAAGGTCAGCTTACATGCCTAGACTCAAGTGAACTGTTGACTAATACAAAATCTTTGAACACAGAAAAATATAAAGGAATCCCTATGGACCCTGAGGCTGCACAGGAGTTGATAGACCGTCTACAGACTCCGGGGAATCGTTCTGCGGCTGGACCCGACGAGAATACTGCTCCTCGGCCAAAAATTCCTGCCGATCAACGAACAGGAACCAAACAGAGCTCAATAACCAGTCATGGAGGTCCAGTCAGCCAGAACCATACAGCTGGGCCTGAAGCACCAAGCAACCAAGGACCTCGTGTCGGCCAGGAGGGGGCAGTCAGTCGTCATGTCCTAAATCCAGCAAGATCCAGCCCCAGAGCAAGCTCTCCAGCGCCAGCCGGTCAGGGAATCCTACATCAGGCAAGACTAAACTCTCGAGGAAGCTCGCCAAAGCCGGCAACCCAAATCGCGAACAGGCAGGGTGGTGATCAAAACCAGAATACAAGGGCAGAGCAAGAAATCGTCAAAAACCAACTGGGTGCCTTGGAGGCTAAAATGAGACAAATAGCCACCTTATTCTCAAAGCCCGAGGATGTGATGAGAGTTGTGCAAATGTTACGAGATGCAAAAGTGGAAGTAGGGCAACTGGAACCTGTCAGTTGAGAGAAAACGGAAGGGACATATACAATAGTAGACAAACGGAGAGAGAGTGTGTAGGTGGCTGAAACATGGGGACCACTATCTTCGAGGTACAACAGGGGTAGTTACAAGAGTAGGGAAGCCGAGGGGAAGAGTCGAGATGAAAGTAGGCAGAGCGCTAGTCTAGCATTTAAATTTTCCCACAAACTTACGCCTCAGAGTACTCACTCATTGGGACTGGCCGGGCATATCGATGATTGATGACTGATTCAATCTCTGAATGACCCTTGATTTGCTCTTACTACGGTAGGAGGCATAAGTATTGGTAGCTTCTGTTAGAAGTCGTAGCAAACAGCGTACGGAAGTGCCAATTCACTTGATTGAGTTACTCCTATCAAGAAGAGCATTTGCTCATACTAATAGCTATAGAAGCGCATTACTGTAACAGCTCAGAAACAGCATTTGGCGTTCAATTCGTACAGCAATGCTCACTGCCATAAATAACAGGGCGTAACAGTTACAAGAGCGTTTCGTGCGTTTTGCATGCGGGGACCCTTGTACCATCATGCTAATACGTAACAGATACGTATCATATGTGCAGGGATTCTGACAGCTTCAAGCTAGAAATTCTGTATTTAACACAGTCTCAACGAATCTGTACATTACTGAAACGATGTTAGTCTGGATGGTTCTCAGAATAGAGCCAGTCATCATGATTAGTGAGGGGTCAAATTTACAATGACTCTGGAGGGCGGCGGACCCTTGTATCAAAAAACTAGCTATCACTAGCTCACGCTAACAATATTAGTGCCTCTACGGGAGTAGTTTCCGGGATCCGGGTAAGCTGCCAAGATGATCAAATTCACCTGATTCTATCCGTTGCAGGTTTAGGCAACTTGATCTTGCAAGCAATTCATTGTCGCTGATTTGAATTTCGTCTACCAATTCCTTTGATACTTCTATCCACGCCTACTTTAAGTCCGTACATTCGATCTTCTGAAAGAAGCCTCCAAACCAACCATGTCTCCACGTCAGGATACTTATCTGTCCCTCTGCTTGGAGCAGGCATCCAAGTCGCCTTTGCACTACCGCCATGGCTGCATAATTGTTAGAGGAGGCAAAGTCATTGGTCGTGGGTTCAATCACTATCGTCCAGGCTTCAACGGTGGGGCTCTGAAGAACGGGCGCAGCAAGACAGCGAGTGATATGCTAGTGCAGCAGAAGCCCCAGCAGAAGCCCAAGCAGAAGAACAAATTCAACAGAAGGGATGAGGATCTCCATGCCTGCGGTGGGAGAGCAGATGCTCATATGGCGTTGTCTATGCATGCAGAGATGATGGCCATCCGATCCGCCTTGTCCTTGTCCTCCCACCCGTCCGGTGCCTCGGCTCGTTCCAACGCGTGGTATGAAACACCGTGCTTCAGATCACCAGGTCTTGGTAAACAAGAACGTAGATTACGAAAAGAGAAGATTCAACAATACGTGGAAAGAATCTGCAAGACAACAGAGAAGACTGGAGGGAAGATCGAGTCCGGTGGCTTCACAACACAGAAAGACGTGTGGCGTTTTGAACCCGATATACGTGGACTCCTCCAAGCTCAACAACAATGCTCCCAACCAGCCTGGCCACAACCCGACCACAGATCAGAAGACGAACGAGAAGAAGACGAACGAGAAGAAGAATCCTTCTACAGCTCCGCGTCAGTACGAAGTAGGCCAGTACCTGTATGAAGATCATATTCAGGAGGAAAATCCTGTGCGTTTAGCAAAATCCAAACAACGGAGATGCACGCCAGGTGGCGCTCCACATCAAGATCAGGGGCCTATGCTGGTACCAGCAGCTAAGACTCTTCCAAAGGCCAGGAAACTCCCGCAGAGGCTGGACAGCCGCCTTAACGGAGCAGATCTCTATGTTGTCCGGCAGGCATGGCAGCATCGCAGTATGAAGAGGAACAGCCAGCCTGAATTGAAACAAGACGACGCACTGTCCTCTATACGCTCAGATCTGTCGGAGACGTTGAGCGCACCTTGCTCGCCGAAAGGTCCGCTATCACTTCATGATGAGCTCAAGTGTAGTGCGCCTCCACCACCGAAGCTCGCTCTGCAGGAAGGTTCGCAATGCGAGCCACAGTTTTCCGCTACATCTTCAAGACCTTGTTATCGATGCATATTATACATGGAGTGGGCTGGAATAAGACGAGTGTTTTGGACTAATGAGGATGAGTATTGGGAAGGAGGCAAAGTCAGGGACCTTGTGGATGCTTTGGGACTGAACCAGGCCAGCAATGGTGCCTCTGAGGACACCAGCGCAGGCATATTTATCACTAAGCATGAAATACTCATGATGAGGCGCCAGATGGGTGATCATCAGGGACAGAAAGGACGATGAAAGGAGATAGTCTCATTCGTCACAAACCGGTAAGCTATGATGTTGTTCTGTAATATCGTTTCAGTAGCTAGTGTACCTTAAGTGCATAGTCCTCGAGCGTGGTAAAACTGTCATTCCCCCTGTCTCACGAGTCATTTAATTGAATCGATGCAGCTACAGTACTACGTGCGTCGTACATCGCTGAGTAAATTGGCAGAAAGGCCAATAATGCACTGTGATGTAACATGCCATCTGCAGTTCCCTCCAAGGCGAATGTTGGCACTACTGCGAGGGTAATGCGAACACGTTGAAAAGGAGAAAGATCCATTGAAAGAAAAAGGGGACGTGGGGTTGAAGCTAGGGAGCAGCCGCCGCCGGCGTAACTCAATCTATTGGTGCTGTCTGCAATGCCTGAGCAACGTTACCTTTCACTCCTTCTCTGACGTCAAACGCTCAATATGCAAAGTCCTTGTTGACAAAGCAAAGTCTTCAATTGACAGCAGCTTCATATTGTTCCTTACGAGGTCGCCACTTTGAGTTCATCATCATTTAGCGGAATGGCTAGAGGCGCGAGGTAATGCCGCTTCTTTAGCGGCTCACTTCGTCCATGGGCCCCATGACCAGATCTGGGAACAAGCATGCTCTGTTCGTGTTTTTATGGCCTAACATGGGCTACCCCTAACTATCTTATCGTCGTCAAGGGAGCTGATCTTCCCAAGACTCCCATTAGCAGTATTAGACAGTCCCTTTCGACTAGCGAAGAGATTCCCCTGAGAGCTAACTAACCATCGCGTTAGGCGCTCTATGCCACATTTCCAACTATTATTTTTAGTTCAGCCCACCTGCTCATTAACTTACGCTGCTGGCTCCCGGCTTGGGCCATGGGCGGCCTCTGGCTGCATCTTTTCTTCTCTTTTGACGTCCCTCTCGCGCTTCGTTGTGTATGTTTTCATATCCTTGCAGGTAATTTTGTTCGCACAGCGGATGCCGGCCATGGCAAACCCATATCAAGTTCGTCCTTTCGCGGTGGATCCAAAGCGTGTTCATCGCGGTTCATTGAGCCCGGATGATGCAGCTGCCATGTCTGGGGGACGGTATGGCTCCTGCACATCCTGATCATTTCCCTAATGGATTATTTGCTGGATGAACGGTGGAGGCATCTTGAAGGGCCGCATCGGCTGACATATTGCAGACAGCCAACCGTCTACGACAACACCGAGATATTCTTTCAGCAGGTCAAGACAGTCATGACCCACATTCCCCGCAACGGATCACTAAGTTCTCTCGATTCTATCCCCTCCCAACGATCCTCAAATACATCGTGGGTTTCCAATTATACGCAGCCTACGGTACCCTCGCCAGAACCAGGCACTTTCTCCCTTGGTTCGAAACCTTCCCATCCCGGCTTGCAACGAGGCCCAATCTTCAAGAGAATATCGCAAGGAGTGTACGACTGTATACTAGAGCAATTACAAGACCTGCACTCGGACAGACTGTCACCGAGTTGCGCAACATGCTATATGCGCGATCTCGTAGCTCTACAACTCACAAGCCGGTCATGGGACAGGGCAGTCCGAAAGACATTGTGAGACGATACGCCCATTTTTGGTGGACTCCACACTGACGTATACAGATATTCCAAAATACATATCTCGGACAATGATTCTCCAACCCAGCTGAAGAAATACAAGATGAAATATGGTACAAGGCTGAGGTTGCTACGACGGACATTGCGGGAAAGGCGGATGCTTGGGGCTCTTGTCAAAGAGCTCACCGTACCGGATCCGGCAATACCACCTTTGTTGCCGAACGCCAGGCCGAATCCTGGGTTTGTAGAATATCGAGATCTCCTTGCCTCGCTGGTTATGGTGTGTCCGAATTTAGAACGACTCCAGGGTTTCTACACTTTTTACAACCACGAATTCGATCGTCTGACACACGCTCTGTCGACTCGAAGAAGACTCAAGGAGCACGTATGGATAGTCTCTGAAAATCAAGCCGTTACAGAACGATCACATTACCAGGTCTCACCAGGCCTGTTAGATGAGCATCAGGTCTACCAATTCATGCATTATCATTACGCCTGGTCTCAGCTAGAAACCTTGATGTTCTGTTCTCCAGGTGGCACAGGGGTACTCGAGCACGAACTATTTCTCAGAGTATTCCCACTCTTACCCTCTCTAAGACACCTTTGCGTATCCTGCTTTGATGGAGACGATTTTATGGACCAGACTTTGCTTGCACTTCCAGCACTAATCTCTCTACGGCTGGAGGAATGCCCAGGCATTTCCGGATCTGGTCTCTCTCGTTGGGCTGCCTCGCCCGCTGCGCACACAGTGGAGTCTCTCACGCTTATTCACCAGAATCTGGGGGAACTCGTAACGATTTCTAAGATTCTGACTTCACTGCCCCAGCTTCTGAAATTTACCATCGTTCAAGCAGATATCAGTCCGGCTATACCAGACAGTATTATGATCTTTCAGCCTATTCTGGCCTCGCCAACACTAAAGCATCTTCACTGGGATGTAGCCCCCTCTGGTCAATACACCTCTACCAAATACTATGCCGACTTACCACCATCCAGCCAGGGGAGTCAAACGGCAAACTCTCATCTCGCAGCTTCCATCCTCCATGCCGGATTTCCCAATTTAGTTGCTCTGCGAGCCCCTCAAGACCTTGATCCTCCAGGTGTCCTCCAGGAGGTCTGTCGTCCTACCACAAATGCCTCGATTCTGCTTCCAGCTGACCGGTATGGCCTACCTCCTAAGTCACGAGGAAGCAAATCGGCCATGCCAGAGGTTCTCCCAACGAACAACTCTCTGCATGCCGCCCGCGTTCGTGCCCAGAGCTACATTGACTCCGCTTCGAAATCCGAGAAAGAGTTTTGCAAGGTCATTATCACCGACCACAGCAACCAAGAAGCATCAAGCCATAAATCAAGTTCCTCCAACCATTCCGTATCCACAGATCCAACAGATCCAGGAGACCTGTTCTCTGATCCGCAAGATCCCTGTCTCGACACTGGCGCTGATCGTGCACTTTCTCCGATGACTCAGTCCAACAAACAGTTCTCCACCGCCATTTCATCTATGCTTGATGCCTCATCGAGTGAGGAAAAGACTACATCCGTCTGTCGCAGCGACCCCATGCAGCCCGTCAAACTTCATGAATACAGCTTTGCTCCTTTCCTTGGGCGGGTATCTGTCTCTGTCTCATCACCTGCCTCCTCTGTTCTCAACCCGCCACGCTTCAATCTCCTACCTGATGTCCCTGGGTATGATATGGAGGGCGGGATTATAGGTTGGGCAGACCTCTTGAGGCTTAAAGAGAAAGATGACCGGGCTGTTAATGGACCTGCGTGGATTAGGGACGGATGTACGGGACGATGGAACCAGGGATGCGCTCGAGGTCCAGGATGGTGGAGGCACACGGAGAGGGAGAGAAGGAGTGGAAGGATTATCGGAACGGGCCACTTCTTTTAGTGAACCGGGATATGTTGGGTCGGTTTTGTTCTGACTATCCCAGGGTTCGTTGTGCTTTGCTCTTTGTGCCATTTCGGCGAAGTCACCGTTGATCAGGATGATATATGCAGCCAGCCTGGAATGTTGCTATTTATACCATTGATCATTTCACTAATCATCAGTCTGAGTCGCTGCAAGCGAATAGCAGTGAGCACAACGGGACAAAAGAAAGACTATACCTACCATAGCAATGTATTAAGAGCAATTAATGAAAACTCTCCAATAATGCCAAAGGAAGTCAATTATCCTAAAACTGTTTACTCCACCAGAAGGATCTCTGCTGCTAAGTTAGTTTATAGCAGATCGGGAATCAAGCATTGCCAAGAGCTACCATTTCCGCATCCTCAGTGACGTCAGGACCAAAACTGAAAGCATTTCAACCAACGCCTAGAGACATCATCATATCAACGCACTTAGATCTTCCACTTCAGCAATCAAGTAAGTTCATTGTCATGTTCTTGATCTCTATTAGGCCTCTATCACAAACCGTCATTCGGAATCCACCCAGTCAATTCTCTTTTCTTTGTCTATCACCTTTCCATCAAGCAAGGATACTAAGTCGCTCATTGACAGGACTGACGAAACCTGCACCTCCGCGAGTATTGTACACTTACCACCCACGCCGCTTCACGATGTCATCCAAAGAATTCAGCAATACCTCGACGGGAGATGCACCAGCCGATCCATACACAGCCAAGAACAAAGACGATCCGTCTCTGGAGGAAAAGATTGAGACCCTTATTAGCTTCGTTTCGTCTTGCAAGTTTGGCATGATGACAACTCACAATGCGTCCTCCAACCTTCTGGTTAGCAGATGCATGGCTGTTGCTGCCAAGGTATGTCCGGATCGCCTCCGCCCACCAATACCTGCTGTTCCTGGCTGACTTCCAATTTAGGAGGGTGGCGGCATTGACTTGCTCTTCCACACCAACACCGAATCCGGCAAAACAGACGATCTAAAAGATGACCCTTCCATCAACATCTCCTTTCTCAACGCCACCGGCGAATGGGCTTCTATCTCAGGCTCATCAAGCATCCTGACCGATCGTGAGACGGTCAAGAAATACTATAGTCCACAGCTCAGAACTTGGGTCGGCGATCTCGGCGATGGCAAGCATGACGGTGGTCCCGATGATCCACGAATTGGAGTGATCAAGGTCGAGGCAAAGACAATCACATACGCAGTAGCAAGAGGCAATGCTGTGTCTAGAGGTGTGGAGATGGTGCAAGGGGCATTGACAGGTTCAGCAGCACAAGTCAATAAGCTTAGAGAGATCAGTGAGGATGAGTGCAAGCAGTGGAGGGCTAGTCATCAATGAAGGCCTAGGCCAAACATTTGGAAACGAGAGATTTGCTATCAGGTGATGACTGTACAAGAATTCCGATCATCAATCATCATCAGCATAGCATAACATCGTTTTAGGTATGGAATAAAACCACAAGTTGATGAACCATCTTGTTTCATATGTTCCGTATATCCATTGGGGTTCAATGAATCTCTATTTGATGGGCTTTCCCATGACTGTTCTGGTTAAGCAACACGTGGAGCAGCAATACAACACAGCCGGCTCAGATGAGTGTCACAGTGGGTATGTATTGAGTCGGTTCCACCTCCATGCACTGATTTCTGCCACTCGCGGGATACCCATTGGTTGGGCGAGGAGGTCACGAACCCAATAATCTCTGAATTGGATTTTAACAGTTTTCACTCTTCTCGGCAGTAGGGGGAGCTGTGGCACGTGAGCTCCGGGTAAGCTTACCTCTTCTTGGCCCGCCAAGAGTTTGATTTGCTGAAGAGGTCCGTGCCCAGCGACGTCATGGCAGCCAGCTTCACGATGCTGGACCACGAAACTGCTGTCCCACCTTTAATATTAACGTCGACAATCGCATTCATAAAAAATACCCCTATGAGAATCGAGCGTGTTCCTTGGCCATCAATTGCGAAGACTCAGAATATCGAGGTCACCTGGCTGAAAATACATGCAAGAAGAGAACCGAATCAAGATGACCGACGATAAAAATCCCCAGGACATAGCCCAGCAACTTGCCCAGCAGGTGCAACAGGCCTCTGGCGACGCGATCCCTCAATCCTCATCATCCGGAGAAGAGCCCTCCATCCAGGACAAGGTCCAAGCAGCTATGACCCAAGGCCAGGAAAGCGGGCTTCTGAACAGCGAATCACTACAAGATGGCAGTATGCAAGAGAAAGTCAAGGAGGCTATGGAGAAGGGTCAAGCACCTGGTGGGTTCCTGAATAGTGCGTCTCTTTAATCGTACCGAACGTCGCATAGCTTCATTCATCAGCTTCATTGTGGTTAACGCACCTGGATTGCATCGCAGAAGTCATGAGCGGCGAGGTAAACAACCCGCTTTCCTCCTACGGCAACAACATTGGCAATACCATCGAAGATAAACTCTCGCCTGTCGGGAAGTATGCAGGCAAAGGATTCGAGAAGATTGGCGGACCTGTGGGAGGGATCGTGGATCCGCTTCTTGGTGGTGTGATGAGGAGTGGTGGTGCATTTGGAGAGGCGGTAGGGGTGGGAAGTGGGAATATGGACAAGAAGAAGGCGGCAGAGGCAGAGGAGAGGGAGAAGATGAAGAAGGAGATTGGTGGCAAGGAACAGACGGGGGATAATCCATTAGGGCTGTGAGAAAATGATATCGGTAGCAGGGAGGACAAGCCTGGAGCGAAGGGTGTACGCGTTCAAGGATAGGAAGCAGAGAACAAAGAGAAGGCGCAGGCGGACAGGAGATGAGATGACGGGATATTGGATTTTCGTGGTGATAAGTGGGATGTAAGTTGCGCAATGATCTGAATATGTATGAAATTTCGAGGCACAATGTAACTATAACCATATCCCAACCCTCACTGTGTTATCCCTGGCTCTCCAATGATAGAAGAACGCTATCTCTACTCTTGTAAGATTGCCTGAGCAAACTGTAGTGGGCAGCCTAGCAGCCACTAAATCTGTTGATGAGGCCTTGGCTACGAGACTCATATTTTGCGCCTTTGTTACGGAGTACTGCAAGATGGCATTGTTTTACCGTCTCTACCTCCAAAGTCAACCAATTCAGATGAAATAAGACTCATTAGCGTGCTTATCCTACCTGCCGCACATACAGCAATAGCCCCCTTGTCATCACTCCCAGATGACCTAATCTGCTACATTTCTGTATTGACTTATCCATTATGTCGACTGACCTACGCTCTAGTCAACAAGAGATTCTTCTCGTGCTATGAGAAAGAGGCCAAACGAGCCAGCTGTTAAATAAGAAAATCGAGGCCGTTTACGATGAGGCACTGACAGTGATATTGTTTGCGCCATGTCCAGGATTGAACACGTTGACATTTATGATGTATGATGTGAACAACCTGTTGAACTCACTTACAGATCACCCTTTGACGTTGATCTCTCACTCTCTCGTTACCTGAGGTCAACTAGAATATCCACTGAGAAATGGCCCGTCGGTTTCTAAGCACTCAAAAAAGTCGCTGTGGGCGCATTTTTACGCATAGGGTACCTAGAGGGTCACTACTCTACCACTTCCAGAGCCATGGCTTCTTGGCTCCTACTTCCCCACCTTGAGATCCTTTAAAGCATTATTCGAGCACACGGCAACGCTGGAAGCCCTGGAATTATTTTCCCATCCTTGGGCTACGGCTCCAGCAATTGACACCAGACTGGCTCAGTTTGGGAAAGCTTACACGTCTCGAAGGTCCATTTAATCATCTTGCGGACTATGAAAAGACGAACTATGATAGGGCCCTGACAGGCGATAAGAGGCCTTGTCCGTCACAAAGAGCGAAGGAGAAGCCTACGCTCCTGGAAAAGATTGTTTGGCTCGATCCGCGGAAGTATCTGCCTCCATGTCTCAACGCATTGAGAATCAAGAACGAACGTCAATCGTATTTCTACGAAGAAGATGCTGTGGGATTCCTTCAAAAACTTATTGGCCTTGTTTGTGGTTACGATGGTGAGCCCTCGGAACACGCTCAGCTCAAGCATATCTGCCTGGCTGAACATCCATCTTTCTTCGATGAAGAGGTCTCTCTTCCTGAATTTCTCACCCTTTCGAATCTGGCAAGGAAAGGGGAATTGAGCTCCATCGCTTCGACAATATATTGGAGCCCAATGCCAAAGTGCCCTATGGCGCATATCGGCCGGGAAAAATACGACAAGTATTCTGGGGTGATGATAAAATGGTGATGCTGGTTTTGCGGGACCGTCCATTTTCAATAGAGCTTCATCGGCTATTTGAATCCATTGCTTTCTTCTGAATATCAGCAGACGAATAGGTCCAGAATAGTGAACAAAAGTATATCTGAAGTACTGGTTTTGTGGCTGAAAACCGAGCGATATGCAAACATTTTCTATTAGGCGTAGCTCCTTCCCCTAAGCAATCAAACCCTATTCAACACCACCAACGCCATATCCATGCTGCCATGAGTATATTAATTGCCAAGAAAGTAGCCATATTAGTCGTTTCCGTACTGGGAGCGCATATCACGTTCAACGTCATATCGGAAAGAAATCAGCGACCTGACGACTAGCATCTGCTGGTACGGCGAGCAACCTAGGTGATTACAACTAGTCTCAGCCAAATTCCCAACTGCAAAGCCAAGTATCCAGCACCGGGTGAAAGGAAAGACGTACCTCTTCCCTGTATCCGTCAAACAGCACCCACATAGCAGAGCAGCCGGCCAAAAGAAAAGTGCCAGGCATACTGCGATGATGAAGCCTATCATCACATCAGAACCATTCGAATAATCGCATATCGAGAAACAACAAAATCCTCATCCGCAACTGGCGTGAAGCTTCCTGGCGTCTAGTTGACCTGGAAGAAGCATGACAAAAAAAGGTAGACAGCACCCACCGAGCGTAGGACCGATGATTTTGAAGTAACAGGGAGCATTCGGACCACCGCAGCTAATACAGAGAACCGGGCATGGCAAGATACCACAATCCATGATTAGAGGACTATGCGCAGGAGTGATGAGGAAGAGCGGAACGTGGACTCGTTCTTGATGCTTGCGAATTCCAGTAGAAGCTTGCTGTAAGAATGTAGTTGACCTTGTGAACGGCGTGGGAAGTAAAATGCCGAGCTGGCGGCCCACAGAACAAAATCAAGACCTCGTCAAAGAGTGTATTCGTCAAGGAGCTCGTGGTTGAGCACAATGTCTGGTAGAGATGTCATGAAGAGCAGACAAAGCGCGTACTAAAACTACTGAAGTATTATTAGCTCAGCGCTAGTATCTTTGCTTGTAAACCCTCTCTGTACGGAGCCGCTATTCTCAAAGAAGTTAGTTGTAATGATTTGACTCGTTAGAATGGATGCACACAGAACAAGCTTTAGATTGACGAATTAATTGACACTATGTCGCTGTAATAAGACCTAGCTGCTCCTAGCACCAGACTAACAATACTTCAGGCCCCTCCTGTAGTAGTTTCAGTAGTTGTGAACTTCTGAGAGCGCCTATTGGCCAGGTTTCATACGCGTAATCCCTTCGTTCCGCCTGCTTTTGATTGGTCAATGTCTCCTGCAATATCGCTTCTGATTTGGCTGTACGGTGTCCATCTTTTTTGCATAAAATGACGGTCATTCGGATCGGCTCGCTAGATTTAGTGCTAAATGAATCTTATTCTGAATTTGGCTAATTAGACAGCTCATTTACAATCTTTTCGACATCGAGGCTAACCGATTAAGTGGCTTTATGCATGGTTTTCTTGGGCTTTTCGACTCGAATTCGAGCTCTTCTGGGCCTTAGGCTTTTCGATCCTGAATGCGAACTCTTTGGGGTCGAAGGCAGTCCTTGGCTAGCGGAACCACTTCGATAGCATCAATTAGTACATTCTTATCCTACTCCGTACCGCGCATTGGGGGTTCAAAATCTAAGGTTAAGGTGGCTGACGCTAACCCGGGTTTGCCGCTACTCGTGTGGATTTCTGACCAACTGAATTACCGTTGTGGAGCTGAATGGCTCTGAGCATCAATTGTCTAGGAATCTAAAATACAAAGTTCGGAGGAAATAACTCTATAGGCGCCAAGACCCCCACCCGTCGCTTTCTACGCACTCTGCACAGCAGGTTGACAATTGTAAATGATTGGCACAATTTAAACGAGCAAGTCATTCTTTTCAAGCAACGACGCGTATCATTGAAATCGTTCCGCAACAGGAGCGCTTACCAACAAGTCGAGCCGAGCTAAACCATTATCACAGTCTATATTTGTACCCTAGTCAAGACCCGTACGCTCCGGAGGCCCCAATGGCTTCTGTGAAAGTCATTCCCAATGCACCCCCACACCTCGTCGAGCCAACCGAAATCTACGGCGTCGAGGGACCCATCACTCTCCGCATCGCTACCGGCGGAGCAGGTCAATCCGGTCTGCTCAGAACCCTGGCTGAAGCATTCATCAATGAGTGAGTCTTGTCTCTCATTGTGAATCGCGCCGCATAGCATCTATTTGTATGCCTGTATTGGAAGCGTGCCAACCAAGAGGAACACCTAAGCTTCTCTCAGCAGTATTCCTCCGCACCAGAGTCGGAGAGGCCTCCCGGCTGTGTAATCCCCTTCCGAGCCTGCTGGATCGCTTCGGACACTTCGGCTTCGTTCAACAATCTCGCGTTGAATGCAGCGGATGTCAGTATCACGTATCATGCTACTGCGGAGAAGATTGCGATGGGGCAGGGCGTGGCTGATCGTCGGGAGAATGCTTGGAGGGATCATTTTATGCTTGTAGGTAAGTCGGTCCTCTTCCGTGCCGTACAACTGGATGCAGGGTGCACAAGCGGCGGTACGGAGGCTTCCTGCATTCAGAATTTTTCCCTTTGCCGCAGTGGTATTCTACAATCTAACAGAATTTGAAGGCCCGAAATCAAACCCCGCAAAGCTGCCTGTGGGAAGCCAGCAAACAGTCTACGACCTGTTCGCACAGATATTTTGCGCCGCCATTGAGACAGCCAACAGCAAGCATCCTGTTCGATACCTCTCTCGGTAGGTCCATCCAGGCATTGTGAAATACACGTCTTCTCAACCTCAATCTACCTACCTCATTCTCCATGGTTCAACCACTAACGCCCATCCCTAACCATCTCAGTTTCGACAAATCAGCAAGCAACATCTGCGAATCCAAAATCTGGATCACGATAGGCCAAGCCCCTTGGTCCCACCCCTACTCAACCTGGTACCACCAGTACATCGATTTCCCTTTTCAATCCCTCAGGATAGCCAGCAAACTAGCTGAATACACCCTCGTCGATCGAGGAACGTGGTACTCCATCGAGGAAGACGTGACGGACAGCCTTGAGATATTCGTAGGTTTCAATCATGTCCATGCGGACGATATCGAGAAGCACTGACCTATAGGACAGGCCGAGGGAACAGACGATGAAGATGATCCGCTACTCAACTCGGCGCATGCACTCGTCGGCGCTTTCGGAGCCAACAAGGCAATGGCAACTGCGTTTGTGGACTGGTTGATCAAGCCCGACGGTGGACAGAAGATCATCAAGGAGTTTGCTGTCAAGGGGCATGTGCTGTACACGACTGCTCCAGAGAGATCGGAGGCATGATCCTTGGATCTAGCACAACAAATGGTAAATTTTCAAGTTCTTTGCAGATTTATGCCAAGACCAACCACTGACGGAATCTCTTGGCTGTTTGGAATGCTTCAGACTAACTTAGGAAAACAACAGACCAGAGGCCGAACAATGTTGAATGCGGGCGGGGGGCGGTACCACTTGGAAAGATGGAGAGAGCTTCCGCCTTATCATTCCTTGTTGCAGAGTTGGAGGCTCATCTCGGTTACACATAGCCTTAGTAAAATGAATAAAAACTCCTGAATCCAGTCAACAAGTGATTGTACGAGATTCATAACCCAATCTATAGCTGAGATCGCAAAACCATTCTCTCCAATCAACAAGACAGATCGTCACCCGCAGTATGCAGCGCCGCTCTCTGACCGGCGGATGATAACTACTAACTACTGTTTGAACTCTGAGAGGACCTAACTATTGGCCAGGTTTCATACGCGTAATCCCTGCGTTCCGCCTGCTTTTGATTGCTCAATTTCTACTGCGATATCGCTTCTAAATCTCGCTGTATAGTACAGCCTGTTTGTACGGATATCTACGTGCACTACCCCTTGACGGATAACACCACTTGCTTTCTACGGACCCGCTGCAGATTGTTACACACTAACTAATTAGTGTGACTGATTGCCCAATGCGGCAAGACCGATCCGAATTTCATCCGGATGACCTTGTCCGCTGGGTGGTAGGTGCACCGAACGTTACTCGAAGATTTGACTCGTTGCCTTTGCTATCTCACCATATCGACAATTGATACGGAGTACTTCAAGAATGATGGTATAAGTCTGAACTTACCCACTAATCGCATTTGCATGACTAGCAAAACTTTTTAGTGCGACTCACCTATTCCTCTGCGAATATCCAAATGATGCAACACAGACTCGCATAGGTTGATAGCTGCTCACGAAGCCTGAGATTCAGCCTCCACGGTATGGTTGAAAGCCTGATGTAAACCCTCTACGCTAAGCAAGCAGTGATTAGTACATACTTGCCCTGAAACCAACCACCATGGGCTTGCAGCTTTCCCTTGGTAGTGCTTTCTGGTTGGTTTACTGCGTTCATTTTCCTCATCAAGTCTGCAAAAGGAAGATAGCATCTTAAGAGCTAAAACATTTTTCAGAGTGGTTTGAACAAGCAGATACCTGGCTTAGTTTCACTGTGATCCAGCGGGGGCTGAAGTGTCATCCATCTCCTTCTCTATCTATGAAGACAAAAAGTGACCACGAGATTTGATAAAATTGAAGCAAGAAAAAGCAAAACCTTGAACCCGAACTGTCTGTAGTAGACAGTTCAGGATCAGGAGAAACCTCGGGAGGTTTTTTTCGTATGCGCTGGAGGGGAGGAATTTTCGTATTTAAGAGGAGGAGGACTGGTATCTGGCTTCGGGGGGTATGTGCCAGCGTAACAGTTGTCGGGTTCGAACCTTTGGGAGGGACTGTCGATTTCGTGGCAAGGTAATGGGATTTTAAGCCACTACACCACTGTGCCAAAGGATATTGGTTATTGCTGCTGAACACTTGTTTATAACTCTAATTTCAAACACCGGAAAAACACAATGTGCTATGTGCTAGTACGATGCCGGCCAACACCTTCAATTCTGCACAGGGGAGATCGAGTCAACATTATCTCTTACGAGTAAGGATTCAGCATTCGCGAGTTGATACACTACCGCTCTATCTATCCATATTCCGCCGTCAAACTCACAACCAGCGAGCTTGAAAGAATGGACTACTTGGGAACCAGGATGGGTAAGCAGTCCTTTACTTACTCCGGGGCTAGAGATATGAACCCTGCCGGTGTGTCACTACAAGCGAAGATTGAACGATACTAGACCCTCCTTACTCTGAAACACCTTACACTCAAGGCGCTACCCAAGCTCAATACAGCGTCAAGCGCGGCTTCGAACCAGGCCAGCGACACAGGGAGAAATTGTGGTCACACTACAATTTCACGAAGTAAGCGGGAAACTTCTTGTCGAACGGTACTCAAACCGAATGAAAAAATGTACATTGCTATCCATTTCTATCAAGAAGCTGAACAGCATAAGGCTCCAAAATCCCACTCAAACACAGCCCAACAAGAATGGCGGGCTACATGCAAGTAAATCGTTCCCAGCATGACCAATGGTCAGTTGTCTGCTGTTTGACATGACCAATTTCCCCGTCAATGCGGCCAAAATTTCTTACAATCCTTCGACTTCTTGTCTTCCGGACAGCAGTTCTTGGGCTTGGCATAATAACATTCGCTATTGAAGAAGGCCTTGATGCCCCAGTCATCGCATTGTTTGTCAACACGTTGGTACTCTCTCAACGCCCAGGCCGCCTTAGCCTCGCAGGAACTGTCGGCGATGACATCTGCCCGGGCTTCGACGATCTGGCCGGCGGTGTCAAGGGTTGAGGGCTTAGGGAGTAGTGCAGTCGGCGCGGCATTGGCGCTGAGGAGTAGGGGGACGACTGGGGTGAGGAGAAAGAAGAGCATTGTGGTTGATGGATGTGTGGGTTGGTTGGGGTACTGATAAAGTCGGCCTTGTGTAAGTAATGGTTGATTTTGATCAGATATCCTTTTCCGTCTTCCATGTACGCCGCCGATGTGCGGCCTTCTTATAGAGAAGTGGTCCATTCCTTCACGCAATCCTTGGGATCTGACTGTCTGGGTCTGACTGGTTATCAGATTCGATGTCGATGGCTTAGGCCATTGTCTGATTGGTTGCTGACCCTATGACAAGAATACAATTGTGTGTGGCATGGTCATGCAATAGTCACATTGCGTCGAAAGATGGAGAACGCGAAGTATTCAAGGGGATCCATGGACTGCACCAATTGAGTGCGCTCTTCAATACTATCTTGTTCAAGGCTGTCTTGCTCGGTGTCAAATCCAGAATGATGCGGTCATCAACAACGCTTTCGAAATCGCCTTGCTCCACGCATCTTGATGATCATGCCGGCAATTCCTGGTCTCTGAAGAGTCGGCTCCGTCATCAGATCGTTGGCCCCACGGACTTTTACGTTTCCAACCTTCTCGGACGAACTTCATGGATCGACGCAATACTCACCTTACCAAGTGCTTTGGTCCTAGTTCCCCTTGCATCATTGAACTGATGACCGGCCATCTCTTTGACCGTCAAACGCTAAGTCTTTATGATGATGGACAGTATACTCCCAGCGTATGATTTGTTTACCAAAAGAATATTATTGTTGCCAGCCTCATTATCATACAAACAACGGTCGGATCATGGCACGATTTGCAGCGCAGAATATTTCGCTGAGAAGTGATTACCAGTTCGACCTTAAAGACGGTGGATGGCTGGGTGGAAGAGACCTTGCAGAGATCAGAGAGGCTGTGAGGAATGCTTTGGAGTATCTGAAGAAGAAGTTCCACCCTGCATGGAAGACAACATCAGAGGAAAGACAGCGCATCCTTGAGCTTCAGAGAGATCAGAGATACCAGAGCTGACGGCTGTAGCGTTAGTCCCAATACAATGAGCGGGAGAGGTGTAGTGTGAAATTTTCCCCTTCCAATTCCACCTTCAAGTTGTGTGCCGGTGATATTGCCAAGACGGGCTTTAGGAGGATGCAAACTCCGGCTGATACAACGATTTTGTCGCTCGTCTCGTACTTTTACTGCTAAACTCTTTCTACCCTCTCTCACTTCTAGTATGTATTGTAATACCGTGGATCCCTAGCATAAACTGCCTTCTCACATACAACATATCCCAACCGCCCGCGCGTACTATCACCCCCCTCCGCACAACTCCTGTAGGCTCACCAACACATCTCACTTTCCTGCGCCATCCAAGCATACCTATCAACACCCATCTCGATTCTAACACAAACCTCCTATTCGAGTACTCCTTCTCGACCTACCCAGTATGTCCGAACCAATCCCCGAATCGATCCCGACCTCCCTCTCGCGGCCGTCGCACCGCCCCACCAAAAAACTCCGCCCCTCCCCCTCTTCATCCTCCCACAACCCCACCAGCGCCGCCGCCCTCTC